TATTCACTCTACGTCCATATTTGGTTTGTCTTAGTGTTTACACTACAATTATAGCCCTATTTTCTACACTTAAGGGTGGTACATTACTGGTTCTCACGATAAGTCAATAACCACTTTGTCTTAGATGATTGTTCTCATTGATTTAATTGCTGCTGTCAGTATCTGAGTCGCCTTGTGTCATTAACAATAGCGCAACCCATTCCTGGAGAACTGAGTGCTGGGCCAAATACAATGCAGCCTCTCCTCTCAGATAAATAAAGGAGGTTGGATCTTGGGACAGAACAATGGCCCATAGTTAGCCAGGCCCAGACTACACTACTGTAAAGCATTGTTCTCATTGATTTAATTGCTGCTGTCAGTATCTGAGTCGCCTTGTGTCATTAACAATAGCGCAACCCATTCCTGGAGAACTGAGTGCTGGGCCAAATACAATGCAGCCTCTCCTCTCAGATAAATAAAGGAGGTTGGATCTTGGGACAGAACAATGGCCCATAGTTAGCCAGGCCCAGACTACACTACTGTAAAGCAGACACTAACTAAAGAGGGCTTCATACTAACAACCATTTTAACCAGTCCACAAACCTCAACACAAACAGAACAAAATAACAGAAACCTGGGAAGACAACCGAATGACTCCAAAACTCCCAGTTCCCTGAAAGGTGAAAAATGGGGCACTGAGAGAAAGGATCAACAGCCACAGACAAATTATTTGAAAGGGTAACAGAGGTTAAAGAAAAAGATCAATAACGTGCTTGCTGAGCTCAAAGAAGATATAACTAAACAGATAATGAACTTAATCATCAGTAAGATTACAAAAGACACTAGTAAAAAGCTAGCTGAGTTTACAAAATGATACAAATCATGAATGAACCATTTAGCAAAAAATCAGAGTCCATGAAAAGCTATCAAACAGAAATCCAAATTAAAAATTATATTAAAAATATGGAGAGCAGAAGTGACTAATGTAAGACAGAGCTGGTGTTGCAGAGCAATTATTCAGAGATGCCTTAAAAATAACAAGAAAACAACAAAAAATGAATCTGACAGCTGCTAGATGACCCAAAGAAGGCAAATCTAAGATTAACCAGAATTAGTGAAAAATTAGAAGATAAGACAGGTGGCACTTTAAAAACTTGTTTACAGAAATAATAGTGGAAAAGTTTCAAGTATGGGGAAAGAATCTGACATAAAGATAAATGAGGTATATAAAATCCAAAATAGCCACCATCAGAAAAGAGTCTCTCCACTACTTGTATTTCAGAGTCAAAATACCAAAAGTCCAGCTCAAGGACAAAACACAAAGGCTGTTAGAGAAAAGCAAAAGAAACTTCTTATAAAGTAAATACAGTAGAATTAAGCAGCCTCCTCAACACAACTCTTAAAGGCAAGAAGAGTCTGGGTGAAGGGTTTAAAACCTGAAGAGAAAATTTCCAACCCAGACTGATACATCCTTCAAAACTATCTTCAAAAGTTGATAGCGAAATAAGGTCTTTCCATAACAAACAGCACCTAAGGATATTCATAACCTAAACAGTACTCCAAAATATTCTCAAAGGTATTCTAGAAATAGACAGTTAAGATAACAATTGCAAAGTGTCTAATAGAACAAATACAGTAAGGAAGATGAGTGGTTAAGTTTGGCGGGGGGAACCAGCAATAGGAAAATAATGCAATTACAGGAATGATTCAGTATCTTCCAATAATACCTATCAATATGCATGGTCTCAATTCCCCCACCATAAGACACAGACTAGCAGAATGGATCAAGGGGAAGAAAAACAAAAGCGAACCTTATGCTATATACAAAAACCTATTTAATCCCAAAAGAAATTTATAGGCTAAAAGTCAAAGGATGGAAAACAATATTCCATGCAATAGGAACCTGAAAACAAGCAGGAGTGGCTACCCTAATCCCAAAGCAGACTTCAAGACAAAACTGATCAGAAAAGGTAACCACATTTTGGTTAAGGAAATTATACAACATGAAGAGATAAAAATTATAAGCATATATGCACAGAGCACCAGCACACCTAATTTCATAAAATAAAAATGACTGAACAAAAAAGATCAGGTAAAGATCACCACAATCATACCTGAGGACCTCAAAACCCCACTGTCACAAATAGACAGGTCAACTACACACACACACACACACACACACACACACACACACACAAATCAACAAAGAAATATGAGTTGAATCAAACCTTGGAACAAATGGACTTCATAGAACTACAGTATGTCCCACACAACAACAACAGAATATACTTTCTTCTCAGAAGCACATGGGACTTCCTCCAAAATGGACCACATACTAGCCAACAAAGCATACTTGAATAAATGCAAAGACTGCAATGATCCCATAACTATTATCAGACCATAGAGCAATGAAACTGTAAATCAATGGCAGAGGAAACCACAGAAACTATGCAAACACAAGGAAATAAAATAATGCTCTCTTGAATAATCAGTGGGTCACAGAAGACCAAGCAAAAAATTAGACAGTTCCTAGAATTAAATGATAATGCCAGTATAACATACCAGAACTTATGGGAATTCGAAATTGGAAAAAAAATTGGCAGCTATTCCTCAGAGACAGGACTAATACCTAGAATACATAAAGAACCCCTCAAAATTAGATTTCCCCCCAAAGTAAAAGATCCTTTCATAAAATGAGCATCTGAAATGCATAGGTACTTCTCAGGGTGGTCAGTAAATACTTGAAGAAATGCTCAACATCATGGCTGTGGGGAGACTCTGGCTGCATGTAAAGAGGGAAAGCCCTCAGAGCAAAAGTTCCAAAGCTCCTGGAATTCATAGTTAAAGACTACAGAGGGTCTGCAAAGGCAGTAAGCTAAGCAGAAGCAACCATAAGTCATTTTCAGAGATGTCAGTTCTGGTGACTGTATTCCTTCTGCCCCCAAAAGACTGTTTAAACTAAGTCAGCAGGTGTCATGTCGCGAGCCAGCCTGTTCCTTCTCTGACCAAGACTCCTATACAGATGCCACAAATGTTTTGGTTCCGCATCTTTGTTCTCATGTCCTTCAATTACAAATCAGCAGCCATGGAGGTCTCAGTGGGCTTTTTTTCCTGAGGTTTTCTCTGATAAGTCTCAGTAAAGCAGTTCCTCTGGGCCTCTTGGCGTCCAAACCAAGTCTCATCTCCAAGTAATCTTTCTTCCTCGGCCCTGCCACAGTCACACACTATGACTGCCGGCCTCTGGAGAATACAAATGGAAACAACACAGATTTCTTCTTACCCCAGAAGGAATGGTGGCCATCATCCAGAAATCAAGTGATAACAAATGCTGGTAAAGCTGTGGTAGAAAACAAAACCCTTCTACATTGTTGGTAGGAATGTAAAGCAGTACAAACACTATGGAAGTTAATATGGAGATTCCTCAAAAAATTACAAACACCAATTCCATCTGATCCAGCTATTCCCAAAATACTTGTAGGTATCTTTCCAAAGAGAGCTAAAGACATCCTACTGCAGTGACACAGGCACAGCAGTGCAACTACTGTGCAACTAATAGCTAAATCCTGGAAGTGGATTTTATGTCTGTCAACAGATGATGAGTAGATAAAGAAAATGTGGTGTTTAAATACAACGGAATAGAGGCCTGCCCAGATTCCACTGGTAAGTGCACACAGATATCAAGAGCCCAGGTGGACCAGAACTGCATGGGTGCACGCAGGTCCCAGCCAGGGCCTTGCCCAGATCCCAGCTGTTGGGCCCATAGGCCCAAGCCAAAGGCCCTCCTGGGAAAGAGCTATGCAGGCAGGCAAGCAACAGCCAAAGGCCCACCCAGATACCACTGGTGAGTGCATGCAAACCCCAGACAGAAGCCTGCTCAGACACCAGTGACTCAGATGCACAGCCCCCAGCCAAAGGCCCTCCCAGACAGCAGCTATGCAGGGGGGCAGGCCCAAGCCAGGGGCACACCTAGATAATGTACAAAAATGAAGAGAACTGCCACTCTGAGGTCCAGTTTCCCAAATGGCCTCTACACTCTGCTCCTTAGAGTTGAAGGTATGCATTACTTCCTGGGCTAAAAGTATCTTGGCCCCACAGACTAATCATAGTACCTAGGTCTGAGTTGAAGTGGTATACTGCCCCCATAGGAATAAGTTCCTTGGCCACATCAAGGAACTATAAATCCCTGGGCTAAGAGGACATGTTTCCCTGTATTCTAGAGACAGAGAACTAGCTGAGCTGAGACATCTCACCCTACAGGCCGAAAAACTCTAGTACTCAGTCTCCTGGAACTCAACTAGCCTTCTAAAGACTGAGATGCTGAGACATTCCCCTCCCTGGGGAATGAAGTCATCACTGGGCTGCTCCCTGATCCCTACAGCCCAAGAGATAGTTTTTCTTTGTTGTTCAGGGATCCTTTCTATCACTGCTCATGGCCTCATATAGTCTAACTATCTGAAAGACCAGAGTTGGGCCAGGAATTTAGCTCAGTGGTTCTGCCACCTGACTCACAAGCACAAGGACCCCAGTTTAATTCCCTGATGCCAAATAATAATGATAATAATAATAATAATAATAATAATACTGAAAGACCAGAGTTATTCTTATGTAGTAGCTCGTCCCCTAGGACTTGAAGAAGTTGCACAGAGACCCTACTACTATATTAACTAGGGATGAGTTACTAGAACCTCCCAAGTATCATATTAAGTCTCATGTGCAGGTGAAAATGTTTTGTACTATGACAGCCCTCTATAAAGTTTGTGTGGCCATTAAGGTTGATTGTGTCAACTTAATTGGTTTGGAGCCACCCAGGGGACTGGTGGAACACACTTCTGGGTGTGTGTCAGTGGTTCATTCAGGTATGGCTTTGGATACTGTCTCTGGTCCCTAGCCCCTTCTCCTCTGACACTGCTCCCCTGATCTGCTTCCCCAACACCATGAACTAAGCAGCTTAGCCCCGCCATACCCTTATGCTCTGAAGTTTCTGCCTTGAAGCCAACCGACCATGGACTGAAACCACAAAACCTGTGAGCCACAAACTACCTGCTTTCTTCAGTTGTGGGTGTCAGGTATTTTGTCCCAGTGATGGGAAATTGACTAATAGAGTTATATTACTTGCTTTCAAAACTAACTGTAAGTTTACATTATCAAGATAATTTTGGTATTATTATAAAGATATATAAAAAGAGAAAGAGTTCAATGAAACCAAATTAATAGCACAGAAATATATGCCCATATGAATATATAAAAAGTATCTTAACTCAGTCATAACCAAAAATTAAATTGCAGTGGAAAATAAACTTGACCCTGAGATAAACCCATGAAAACTTGAAAAAACAAAATCTTTGTGACTTTAGGTTAAACAAGTGGAAATAATATGTATGAACAATAGAAAGAATTCTGATAAATTATATATCATCAAAATTAGAAGCTTCAGCTCAGTGAAAGATACTGCTAAGATTTGTGTCCTGGGATTCATGGACTGGAAGTTCAGTCCTTGTGTGGTGATGTTGGGAGGTGGTGAAACCTTAAAATATGAAGCTAGTAGGAAATGGTTAAAGTTACTGGGGACACTGCCACTGGAACACATTAATGCAGCTCTTATGGGACCCCAGTTAGTTCCTTCAAGAGAGATTATTATATACATTAAGAAAAAAAAAAAAAAGATGAGCCCTTTCCCACTTCCTGGCTTCTGTCTCACTGTGTGGTCTCTCCCTCTGGCACATGCTCCAACCGTAATGCCATCTGCTATGATGTGATGAGATCAGCCAGACAGCCTTGGCCAGAACCAAGACAATGCTGTCTGAATTTTCAAATTCCAAAACTGAACTAAATAAATCTCCTTTTAGCTTGGCAGGTGGTAGAGGCCTGTAATTCCAGCCTTGGAGAGGCTGAAGCAGAAGTATCTCTGTGAGTTCAAGGCCAGCCTGGGCTACACAGTGAATTCAAGTTCAGCCTGAACTACATAGGAAGATTCTGTCTCAAAAAGCTTCAGCGAACAAACCTCTTTTCTTTATACCCACCTCAGGTATTTTGTTACAGCAGTGAAACAGATTAATACAGATACTATTAAGAAAATAAAGGATAGGGCCGGGGATTTGGCTCAGTGGTTCTGCTGCCTGCCTCTCAAGTGCAAGAACCCGAGTTCGATCACCACCGGTACCAAATAAATAAATAAATAAATAAATAAATAAAAATAAAGGACAAGCCACAGACTGGTAGAAAATATGTGCCATAATTATCAGACAAAAGACATGTCCAGAGTACAATGCAATTCAATAATGATGACTAATCTCACAATAAATACGGACAAGAAATATTTTATCAATGAAATACATAAGTGGCTGAAAGACACATAAAAAAGATGTGCAGTCAGTCTCATTTATTATTTCCCAGTGAAGTAAAAATTAAAACCATGAGGTACCACTACAAATTCAAGGCTAACATCATCAAATGTGAGCAAGGATGTGGAGTAAATACAATTCTCGTGTGTGGCTAATGTGAACACGCTGCTAGTTGTAATCCTTATGAAAAACTCAGCAGGTTGCAAACAGCCCGTTTTGCTTCCAAAACAAAGTGACTAATTAATTTAGTACATCTGTTGTGGTCTGAGTGCTTATATACCTCCAAAATTTAGATGCTGAAATCTTACCCTCTAAGGTGATGATATCAATAGTGGGGCCTCTGAGAGGGGATAGCATAACTCTGATTAGTGTCTTTATAAGGGGGCCCAAGAGCTTGTCTTAGTTGCCACCAGAAGGGGTCATTTACAAACCAGGAAACTGACTCTCACCAGACCCAACTCTGCTGGCACCTTGATCTTGTATTTCCTGTTGTCCAGGACCATGAGAAATAAATTTCAGTTGTTTAGAAGCCATCCAGCCTGTGATATTTGTTATGGGAGGTTACACTAAGATAGCACCCATGCCTCTCACACTCCCTGGCAACCCTTACCTCCTACCCTTCTCATCCATGAGCCTGGTCCTGCAGAGGCTGAGTTTATTTCCATCACTGCCTCTTTTACTTCACTTTCCTCATCCTCTTCTCTCACTTCTGAGCCAATCCTCATAGAGTTCATCACAAGGTACTTTCTTCCTCTGTTGCCCCAGCCCATTTGATCTTGCTCCCTCTGAACTCTTCTGAGAGTTCCCGTTGTGCCATCCAAGCAGCACTGTGTCTGAAACCTGCTCTGGGGTATGCATCTGGGGGGGGGGTCAAAGTGTAGCCACCACAATTTCTTATTATGTCACCACAGTTCTCAGAACAGGGGAGCAACAGCAGCCTATAGGAACTCTCACTTGGTATGACCTATAAATTAGTATATGAAATTTCATACCTGTCTTGCAGCATCAGGTGGTGTGATGGGCAATTCCTCCTCTCTATCAATATACCCAGGATCATCCTCTTCCTGTGCAAGTGGGGCCAACCAAATGTGATCACACCCCACACCTAACGTCCTCCTTGCAGAGGCCGGCCCATCAAACTCCTCCTGGGTCTCTGAGCCTCCTTTCATCTCTGAGACCTGGGGAATGCCTTTGCTGTCTGTAGCTGAGCCTTCTGTTGTCTCTTCCTGCTTTGGTAACTTCTGCCTCCTGAACCACTTGTGACAGAAATGCTGAAGAGTACGAATCACAAAAGAAAAAGCCCAGCTGATCCGATCCAGTGCTAACTGCACTTTGGTTTTCTTGGCCTCTCCTTGGTTTTCGTTTCTCTCCTCATTGTTGAAGGAATTGAGCAGTAAAGCGATGAAAAGGTTGAGCACCTAGGGGTCAAATGGGTAACAGGGGAATTGAAATTACCACAAAGGAAAAATACAGTGAGTGAGCTTTTTTCCCAGCACTCAAAGTCACCTGAGAGTTCTGTGCCTATTATCTCTGAAGAAAGTTCATCTATAAAATAAAACAAGTGAGGAAGGAAGATAGTAAGACCAAAGACAACTTGAAGTTAAAGGACACAAACAGCCAAGTCCAGTTTATCCAAATATAAGTAACAAGTATCTGTAGTGCCTAGCAAAAGTAGAGGAGAATGGAGTAGTCACCGTGTGGCAGATCAAAAGTGTACATGGTCTGGGGACCAGATGGATTCTGAGCTTGGATTTTTGCAGGACTTGCCAGCAAGGATATGGGTCTAATGTCCAAGGCCACTATGCAGCCCTCTGCTGTTTGTACAATGTGAGAGATAGTATATTTTGTGTGGTCTTTTTAGGCCCAGCTCCCCTAACTTCAAAGAGGTATCCTGGTGAAGGCAAAGGAGTTTGGACCAAATCAGCAGCTCTTCCTTTGAGGCATATATCACTTTTGTAAAAAATGTATTTATTAGTACATTGTAGATATACATAATGATAGTATTCAACATAGGGAATTTGTACCCATACAGGATATCTTGTTTCTTTTTTCCCCATCCCTTCAACCTCTCTTTCCCTTCTTATCTACAAAAGCTTTGTGGCCATTTTTTCCCTTCTATTCTCCTTTTTTTCCCCTTCCTTCCTTTCCTCCTCCTCTCTGTCTTGTTCCCCTTCCCATTTGAACATTTTCTATTTCACAATATCTATTAAGCATATATCACTTTGAATTGAGATTGTCCCTAGATATTTTTATCTAGATATTTTATATCTAGATGTTCTCCAAAAGTCCTATGCACACATAGGTGGGGCTTTTGGAAGGTGACAGGATTTGGGGGCTTTATAACTTACTTACTGCTAGGATCTAGGATCTGGTAGGATAGGCAGGTCACCAGGGGTATGACCTGGAAGGGCAAGTCTCCCTTCCCTGGTCCTCTCCCTCTTCCTGATCATCCTGAGAAGAGCAGCTTTTCCTCCATCATGCCCCTTTGTCAAGCTGCCCTGCCTTGAGCCCACTCACTATGGTCTAAAATTTCTACAAACTGAGCCAATAAAAACCTCTCCTCTTTTAAGTTGCAGGTATCAAATGTGTGTCTCAGTGATGAGAAAGATGATTAAGATCATCCCAGTACCTTCTTACTTGGGCTTTTTCTTATACTGGCAACCCTCCAATTCACCATCTTGACCTCTTTAAATTCCTTTGTTTCTGGTTTCAGCTCAAAAAGAGACAGCTTCTCAGAAGTGTCACAGGACAGGAACAGATCTAGTCACAGTGCCTTCACCTTACCGTGGGAACTCCAAGCCCTAGGTCGCTGCTCACATTCTCCTCTATTTGTGTAAGTCTCTCTTGCTTCTCAGGTGTTTTTTCCCTCTCAATGCACTCTTCCCACTCTCACTGGTGATGTACTGATCTTCTGAATTTTTGTATCCCTTACTGTGTAAGAATCATTTATGAGGTACATAGGATAAAGATATTTTGTGTGAATAATTATATTTGCCCAACCGTCCTATCTTGATTCTGAAGATCTTATATTCAAGGACCTCTGGGTAGCATCTGTTTGTTCAGACCTTCACTGATGTGCACCTTCTTAGTTTCTCCATAAGTACCCATGTCTCTAGCTACCAGGAAGAGACTCAAGTCTATCACACAATAAGACAAAGTAGCATAATGAGAGACTTGAAAATAGAATGGGGACCCATCGTGACATGCAGATACATTTGTCCCATCCTTTCACTCTTCCTTACTCGGCAGTGGCTTTGTTTTAGGCTGGTCCTTCTCATCATTGTACATGTCTACAGGTCTTCCAGGAGTGACAGTCATAAAAAGGTCCAGGGGAAGTAAAGGGTCATTTTTCTCACAGATATTTTTAATAGCAAGAAATTTTCCCCATGTTTTCCCAGGGTCACCTCTTTAGATCTTATGAGTTAATTAAGTTCACACCCTTACCTCAGTCAATCACTGGCACAGGGAATGTGATTGTCTTAGAATAATCATCTGGAATAGACTAGCTGTTGAGCCTCAATCAATATGAGCCCTGTGTGACAGGGGTTTTATTTCCATACTATCCTCAAACCAAATTCAAAAGAAGATTTTAAAGACTTATTTCATATTATATTTAGAATAAGAACCTTCACTAGCAAGTGCTGAAAAGAAGCCAATGCATTTGAGAACATCATATTTTTTTTTCTTTAAAAGAAAATTAAGAAACTCACCACAAGTTTTCCTATCACCATGATTAACACGAAGACAATCACGCACAGTGGTATATTAACTTCTCGCATACATTCCCACATGTTTTCGATCCATTCCCCACAGAGGATGCGAAACACCACCAGGAAGGAATGGTAGAAATCCCCCATGTGCCAGCGCCGTTGACAGGAGTTAGTAACAGAGCTACAGGAAGTTGAATTCCTTGTGGAACAGAATTTATTGCCAAAGAGCTGCATGCCAACTGCTGAGAAAATAAAGAGCACGATGACTAGGACCATAGTCAGGTTTCCAAGGGCTCCAAAAGAGTGGCTGATTATTTTAATTAGTGTGTTTAAGGTTGGCCAGGACTTCGCTAACTTGAAGACCCTCAGCTGAAAAAACAAAAGAAACAAAACACAAACATGAAAGAGAAGCTCACAAATTCCACCTGCTCATTGATAAAGCAAATGACATAGTCCTAAACCACAGCGCTTAAAACTCTTTTCAAGATCCAATCCATTCTGAACATAGATATCAGCTGTCTATCTCAATCTAATACTTGCTTTTACACATGAAAAATATTTTGTTGTAATTTTTAATGAGAAAAGCATTTGGGAAGGGGACTGAAAGCATGTGTTAATTATATAAAACAAGTGTTTTGGCATTCTATCATATACCAGATGTCAGCAAACTCAGGGCCATGAGCCAAATTCATCCCATTATCTGTTTTTTGTATATCATGAGAATTTTTTTTTGAAATGATAAAAGTAATCAAAAGAAAGATATTTCATGACACATGAAAATCATATGAAGTTCATTCTTCAACATCCATTAATAAGGTTTTATTGGAACATAGCCATGCTCATTCAAATATTGATGGCTACCTTTGTGTAATGATGGTAACGTATAATGGCTTTTTTGTGGGGGCACGGGGGGTGGTACTGGGGATTGAACTCAGGACCTTGTGCTTGAAAGGCAGGCACAGCACCACTGAGCTAAATCACTGGCCCTATAATGCTTTTAAAAACAGACACATGGCAAATAAGAACCAAGGTTGATTATGTAAAGGTACAAATTTCCAACAATGAATGTCATTATATTGTATGCATTAAATGTACCCATAAAATTAATTTTTAAAAACAGACACATGGCAAATAAGAACCAAGGTTGATTATGTAAAGGTACAAATTTCCAACAATGAATGTCATTATATTGTATGCATTAAATGTACCCATAAAATTAATTTTTAAAAACAGACATATAGCTTGTAAGGCAGAAAATATCTATTATCTTGCCCTCTACAAAAAAAGTTTGCTATGTCGTTCATTATGGAGAACCAAGGTGAGCAGCTACTCCAGATAATTATACTTTTCCAAAGAGGAATTTTCCCCATGGAGCCTCACAGAAGATCTAGGAAATAATAACCTTAGTGAAAACACAGCAACAATTTTCATGGGTTATTTATTATTATTAAGTTTCAGTGTATACTGATAGTCTCACACCAAAGAACGGTCCTGTTAAAAATCAACCATTTGGGGATAGAAATATTGCATACCAGGAAAATTTATGCTTGAAGAGAAGGACTACTATCATCTAATCTACCCAAGGGGTATTGCTGCATCCCAGTGAGAAATTGTGGATCTATTTTCACATACAGGTAGTGCCACAAAATTCCTTGTATCAGAGCATGGCTGTAATAAGCCTAAACAGTGATGAAACAGACATAACTTCACTCACTGAATATCAATAAAATGTCAGTAGATCAACTAATAATGCCTGCTTTGGAATAGTATAACATTTTAACATACCTTAAGTATAAAATATATAGTTATGTAACTATGTCCAGAGTTTTATTCTATAGGTTTAGAAATACTTTCCACTCCAAGAAAAAAAGGAAATACTTTTGAAAAAGGAAAGAAGGCCATTGCTATGGTGTTACACCTTATATATAGGTGCCCTCCCCAACCAAACAAACAAAAACAAAAACAAAACCCCAAAACCTCATTTATTCATATGTGGGGAGTTTCAAAGGTGGCTGGATTAGGGTGTATGAATGTAGATTAAGGGTGTGATACTGGGATTAAGGATTAGATAATAGAAGTACTTCCCTGAGTGTGAATGGCACCAATGAACAGGCTTACAGCCTGGATAGACTATAAAGGGAAGTAGAGAAGGTGTGCCACTGCTGCTTGCTCCTCACTGCCTTCTGCCTGTCATTCCATGAACTGTTTCTCCTCTGTGATACCATTTTCCATGCTGCCCTGCCTTAGAGCCAGCTGACCAGGGACTAAAATCTCCACAAACTGTAAAGTGAAACAAGCCTTTCCTCTTTTACCTTGTGGGTGTTGGGTATTTTGTCCAGCAATGAAAAAAGTAACTAAGACAGATATATTGGTACCAGAGAAATGGGGTCATTGTTGTGACATCACCTGGCCATGTGGTTCAGAAGCCTTTGGAACTAGCTTATGGAAAGAGTTTGGGAAGGTTTGGAAATGCTGCAGCCCTGGAATGATGAGAAGCAGCCCTGGCATGATAAGAGTCTGGTCAGAGTCCAGAAGATCAGAATGCTGACAGAAATGCAGCCAGTAAAGAGCAGGCTCAGAAGGTTTCTTTTGGAAAGAAGGATTGCATTAGCAGTTGGACGCTAGACCATGTGGTGTTATGCTTTGGCAGAAAATTTGCATTTTGCTCTTGTCCAGAGACATTGCCTGCAACTGAGATTAAGGGTAGTGAACTACTTAATCTAACAGAAGAAATTTCAAGGCAATCTAATGTTGAAGTGGTGGCATGGCTACTGGTGGGGACTTTTAGCCAGATCTATGAACAAGGAGCCCAGCAGAATGATCTAAAACATTTTGAATTTGGCCAGAAAGGAAGCTCTGGTAGCAAAGAAGGCACAGAGGATAACTTGGTTGCAGAGAAGGAAGAGGACTATAGAAAAAGTGGCCAGAGGACATCATGAGACCCATCCGAACTCCACCTTTCACAGCCTCAATATTACAAAGGTGACTTTCCTCTGAGAAGAGAGACCCAGGGCACCATGTTCTGGAATGGTGGCAGCCTAAGGAATTTGTTCCTTGGGACTGGGTTCATAGTGCTCAGTAATCAAGGCATTCACCCCTAGAGCCAAGAAAAAAGGAAGCCTGGCTATTGCTCCAGCCGGCAGTGGGCCTTGTTGTCATCCATGTGGTGCTGGTTTTAAGTGAGTACATAATGCAAGAGCTGGGGGGTTGGGAAGGCTTCCACTGAGGTTTCAGAAAAAGGCCTGGGAGGCCAGGCAGTGTATCCTTGAGACAGCAGTGTGTGAAGCTGTGAGTGTGAAGCCAAAGGTGAAGTAGAGACCCCAGAAGTTGGAGAAGCCAGAAACATAGATTGTCTGAGGAAAGCTTCAAGGGTGAGCAGAGCCAGCCCAAGAGGGGAGCCAGGAGAGCTGCAACTGCTTGCAGTGCCATAGAGGGAGAACCAACCTAGAGCTTTGCAGCTCACATCTTGCCACAGGCTGCCTCAGATGCTGAACATGGAACGACAGGACTTAATGCTTTCCCTGCTGGATGTTTTACTTTCTTTGGTCCCATTCCTTTCTCTCCCCCTATGTGGAATGAATGTTTATTTTGTGCAACTGTATGTTGGAAATGTTTAGCTTTCTTTTCATTTATATAGGGGGTCACAGCTAAGAGCTTGCCTTAACTCTCAAAGCAAACTTTGGATTTGGACTTTCCAGTAATGCTGAAATGTTAAGACTTTAGCAATTCAAGATGCACTAAATACTTTTTGTATAAACAGATGTGTATGAGTCTTTTGGGGGTCAGGGTCAGAATGTCAGGATGGTATCTAGATGTCCCCCCAAAGCCTCATGCACGCACAGAGTTTCAAAGGTCATTGGATTAGGATATGTTAATGTGGAGCAAGGGTATGATACTGGGATTAAGGTGCAGGTAACGGAAGCTCCACCTTGGGGAGGGGGACACCAATCAATAGGCTTACAGCCTGTATGAAATTCAAAGGGAGAGAGGAAAGGCAGGCTTGCTGCTGCTGCTCACTACTTTGCCTTCTTGCCTCCAAGGCATAGAATGTTTCTCTTCTGCCATGCCCCTCTGCCAGCCACTCTGCCTTGGAGCCAGCCAATTACGGACTGAAACCTCTACAAACTGTGAGCCAGATGAATGTTTCCTCCTTTAACTTTGGGTGTTGGGTATTTTGTCTCAGCAACAAGAAAGTAACTAAAGCATATGATTTGAAAGCCCCCCCCCCACAAATTCATGTTTAAATTTAATTTCCACTATACTCCTGTTGAAAAGTGGGACCTTTAAGAGGGGATGAGGGGAAGGGGCTCTGCCTTCATCCATAGATTAATGCCATTTACATGGGAATGGATTAGAAATTGCAGGAGTGGGCTCTTGATGAAAGCATAAGTTCATCCTGGTCCTTCCTCTCTGTCTTGTGTGTGCTCATTTGTGTGTCCTTCTACCATGTGATGGTAAAGCACAAAGGTCCTCACCTACTATCTCTTTTATTTCACTCAATTTTATATTTTGAGGTTTCTCATACAAAAGGAGCCATGCAAAATTTAACCTTCCTTCCATGTCTGGAAACAGGGAGATACTCTTCATGGAGATGGAAAGGTGATCTGGGATAAGGGGAAAGTGAAGGACAGGGACAAAAAGAGGAAGTGAAAACAATGAAGGTGTGACTAAGCAACCATTTGCTAATTAGACACATCTAGAAAGGAGCCAGTTGTTATCATCAATTCAGTGGCAGAAAGACCCCCAATGCATTCAGAGATGATTGAGGCTTCCCTTTAGATCATAGCCTCAGCATGTTAGGGCCCTGAGGTGAGAAGATTCATGACCCAGAGCCACCTAGAGTCTTCTGTTCCCTGCACTCAGGTGGAACATTCTTGGGCTACCTCAGACAGGACAAAAACAGGCCCAGGTGTCCAGGAAAAGGCTTGTCACAGCAGTAAGCCACTACCCAGATTCTATTAGAGCAATGCCTAGTGAAGCCACAGAAGTATGGCTGACCTCAATACCTCCAAAACTGTAGGGCTATGAATGTGAAACCCAAACCTGGAATAAGCTCTGCCTGGCCTCATTCCAGAGAAACAATGAGGTCCTCCCTCTGGGGTCCTTGGAAGCCTAACCCCCACTCCCAATGTGCCCAGGATGTGATACATGGATTCAAGTGAGATTATTCTCCACCTTTAAGGTTTAACATTGTTTATCTCATTAGGTTTTAGACTACCTGGAACTAATTTGCCCTTTTCTTCTTGTCTATTTCTCCCTTTTGAAATTGAAATGCCTGTTCTATGCCTGTCCCAACGAAGAAGGATAGATGAAATAAAGATAAGTGGAAGGGATACAAGGAAAAGCAGCAATTTTAAAAATAAAACATC